TTAGATCGGTCAGTATCTTTTTGACCCCAGACATACTACCCTATGCTGCTCGTGGAATTTTTTATTTGAACGAATGCCTTAAACACAGGCCCTGTGCTGCTCCCGAGGAACAACAGAAAATTATTTCTGCCACAAATATAAGAATGGAGAAATGCCAGACCAACGAAACCTTATTTAAAGAAGCGAGCAGCTCGTGTATTAACTTCCAATAGACCGCAGTCCGGCGTAAGAAGTTAATTGAGCAGTCTCATGATCAAAAAAGAGAAGAAGAGGCAGACAGACTCTCATATTAAGCAAGGTAGTGTCGCCGCGGTCAAGAAATATCGATAAAGCACAGCTTAGCTTGCTGAATTGGTTGAGCTGGTGGCGGTGCTTTCTATTTGAACAAGTGACAAACCCTTGGTATAACACGATGGAGCGCGGACAAACTTAGGACGTAGTTGACACGCCACCACAAGACAGGCGTTTTTAGCCAGCTGTTGAAGACTTTGAAGAAAGTGAAACAATCAGCAAATGGCGCGACATTCAGCAGGGTTTGTACAAGGTGCTTGAAGTCCAAGACCAAGCGTACAACAAATACGGACCGTCGGTCCTGTTGAAACTTGAACACGAGAACGCGGCCCAATGATTTTCGTGTGGTCGCCGTCTTCGCTGGCGTATGCGATGAAAAAGAAAAAAAGGAGCGCCGAGTACATCCTGAACCTTGGAATGAAAAGATCGAAAGAAACAGGCAATAATTATTTTGATTTTAAATTAGCATAAACAATAACCGAAAAAACTTTTTTTTTTTCAGCCAAGTAAGCGTGTTTGTTCGATGAAACGGCCAGCAGCTTGCTGAATTTTTCTCAAAAAATAAATTGAAAGCGCTGAAATAATGCTGCCCGCGCCGCGATAATACACAACAGGGTGGATATGCAAATTCGTGTTAGTTTTAATTTTGTTCGACCGAGCATGATAAACGCAGAACTTTCGAGAGATCAACGTCATGTTTAAATATAGTATATGACAATGGACTACAAAAGGTACATTATGTCACGGTGCCTATAAAAGTTTCGATAAGCAGTGGTTACCCCGTTTATCAACATAATGGCGTTAGAGTGGGATAACTCGTTCGATTTTGAATTTTCTGAAATAGAAAAGACAGAACATCTACTCAGACATCAGCTATCTCTGAAGAGCATGCAACTATTCCGACACAACACATCAAATACCCCAAAACGAATAGCGGTTGAGGGGAATAAGAAATAAAAAATATTTTACTTCTGAATTTAAAGTTGGTTTGCCAAAATTTGACTGAGTTTCATCATTGCATCTGATGTATTT